TTCATAAACTAGGCACAAAGTAATCTAGGACTATGTTGTGAACATTTAGCTCACATTTATTCATGCTCATGCTTATTTTATTGTTCATAATTGCAAGAGCTGTAAATGACCCAGAGATCTGTTCACTAAATGAGTGATAAGCAGTGTATTTATACAATCAAAAAGCCTACAGCATTAAAATGAGTGCCCTAAAGATATGTGTGTAACTAGTGACAACTCTTCCAAATAAATTACTGATTGGAAAAACAGTAAATTTTAATAGATCACATAGAGAATGATACAACTTCGATGCAGTGAAATAAACAAGCAAATGTGGACTGTGTATTTCTTTCTAGATATATCTCTATAAAAAGAAACCACTAACAAAACCATAGGATATTAAATACCAAACTCAGTTCATGTGTTAACTCTTGAAAATTGTTGTGGAGTGTTACATAATTTGTTTTCACTAGCCATATTTTATTCCCAATGACAAAAAGTGAAAACATGGGAAAATATTAAAATTTGGTAACAATGACTACTGTATACAAAAAATATTCATGTCATAGTTCCCTTGATAGTATCTTTTGATAATCTTTCAATATTACAATTAATCTTATGCAAGGGTAAACTGAGGTCTAAGATGGAAAGTGGTTTGCTCAATAACTTACTTTTATTTATTGGTAGAATTGAGAAAAGTACCTATATCCTCTACTTTCTAGTTAATGAAACTTTCTTCCATGTCACTAGATGAACATGTAGCAAGGGTACCATATTAGTTTGCATTTCCAAAGTCAAAGCATTTCTCATTTATGTAGAGAATATGCCTTTCCATACATTTTCCCTGGAGAAGCAGGTTTAACAGCACGGAGTTCCCTGAAGGTACTGTATTCCACTTGCTGCCTAAGGACTGAATGGCTCTTCCTTTTTTACTGATGAACTGATGGTCCTTATCATCTGTCCCTTTGTTCCAAAGGGAATGTCTAATGATTAGTTATTAATAATCCCCATTGAAAGATGAACATTGGATAATTGTTGCTAATTTTAAAAAGACTGAAGTGGTCACTTAGCTAAACCCATATATTCTTCCAATTTGACAGAAGCAGAAGGCATCTACCTGTAAATGACTACTGGAAAACATTAGCACCATATTATAAAAATTGAGGAATTCAATTCAGATCTCTGATATGCATTGTAACAGGTAGGATATTTTAACAAAGATGTATATAAAAACACAGTAGATTGTGTCTTATTGCAAATTCTATTCAACCATTACATTGTACCCCCAAAAGGGAGAAAAGCATATAATAAATACTAGAAAGTGAATCTGGATGAGCATATTCACACTAGGAAGAATCTATGAGACCTTATGTAGTATATTATATTATAATATATCATCTATGGCTATTTGTGTAGAGCAAAACTGTTTAAAAGATCATGGAAGTGTTTAAGTGCCAAGTTTGGCTAATAGGTTTGAACTTATACTATTTTTATATCAGAAATTTATTTTGCTAATGCAGTTATAAGTGGATAAGATAGGGTTTATTTTAGTCTATAGAAAGAGTACTTTTTTTAAAAACTCATGATTTCAATCACCTTAAAAAACTTGATAACCTAAATATGGTTCGTTTGAAATACAAGAAGATAAAAAAAAAGAAATACAAAAAGATCACTCTTTTTTTCTCTCCTGAACTTCAAACTGTTTTTCTTCCCTTTGCATTGGCTAACTAATTATTGATACTGATATTAATGACTTAAGTATGACCTTGTTTTACCAATGCGATGAATTTTTTTTCTTATGAAGATTTTATTCCTTGTAAAGTTTGTGTATGTAGTTAATAGTTTATAGACTTCAAAATCTTTCACTGGGAAGAATTCTGGGCACAGAAAGATAAGAAGGTGGAAATACTGAGTGAGGGACAGAGATGAAGTGAAATATATTTCAGCTGACATTAAAACACATCTATGGAGAGTTTACACTATGCACATCTCTACACCAAATTCTGAGAGTGATACTTAAGGAACATGAGAATTCAAGGAGCTCTCAATGTTGTGAACAAATTATAAGTACAAAAAACTTATTTTGTGACTGTATATAATATATGTATAAGCAAGTGCTATAGCAACATTAGGAGAAAGAAATTTTAATGTAAGCACTTGTGAAGCTTTTTTGGAGGAGATAGGATCTGTGAAAGACATGTAAAAAATAAACAGAAAAGTGTTTACAGCTTAATAAATGTTGAATAGTCTGAGTTTGATTAGGAAGTAGTGTATAGTAGAGGGAAAAACATCATTTATACTTGGATAACATAGTTTTTCTTTAAGTACCAGTAAGGTGTTATAAAGGGAGAATGGAAGGAAAGTTTTCCTGAGAAAACCTTAAATGATTCAGAAAAAATTTAAAGGAAAAATAAAAAGATGACTTAAGGAGAAAAGTTATGAGCTGCGGTCTGAGATCTACACTAACATCTACTAGATCTAGTCACTTCTACAAAACCTTGAGAAACATGTTTATGATTTGGAGTGTGGTGAAGAAATGTAGCTGAAAAATTAAGAGGTCATCACAGAGAATTTATAACTGATAGCACAGTGGTGAGTGAAATGCCCAAAGAAAAGAGAGATCAAAAAGAGAGGGAGAAAGACTGATAAGATATAAACCAGGAGGTAAATAAAACTACAAGAAAAGTACAGCACAAAAGTAAAAACAAAAAAGAAAACACAGAAGCAAGAACCTCAGCAGAGATCTGCTTGCTAGGATCAGTAGCCTGGACAAAGGCTGCTATTCAGCATCTGAAGAGAAAAAACAGGCCTGGTTTCAGTTACAGGTATAACAAAATCAGCTATCATGGCATTTCTTTGAAAACATTTGATGAAATAATTTCCCTCCCAATGGCAATAAAGGTTAAGTGTGTTAAAGGTCTGAGTAGTAGAAAAGAGTTAGATGGGGAAACAACTGAAATCACTGACAGGTAGAATAATAGATAAAATAATTCACCTTATTATATTTTAGAATCCACTTCCTTAATAATTCTCTCACATAAGTTATAAATGGATTGCCATTAATGTATTCATACAAATATGGGATATCATAATTTTTGTTCTAGTTCCCGTTTCCACAATAATGTGTATCCAAAATGTGGACCAGTGAAATACTTCTCTAAACATAATCTTTCAGTAAAAGTTCATGAAATGGTTCTTTGCTTGAGGGCTTCTCTGTGTGATTCGAAATTGCATCCAAGTAAATGAGGGGCTAGGGCTGTAACCTAAAGACATAGGCCTTTGGCTTCTCATATGTAAAATAAATCGACTGTGGAAGACATTTATACTCTTTTGAGGGGCTAAAATTACATCACTCTTCTAGGTTTCATGTTGTTATTTTGTTAACTGTTGATTTCAGAACTGGCACAGATTACTAAAATAAGGCTTCTGGAAAGTTGTGTCAGCTCATCCAAATAGAGTTATAGGCAGAGGGTACCTTTATGAGCAGGGGGCAAATTTGAACTAATTATTAAGATTATTCTGATTCCAAGCAAAAGATGCTTTTAGCGACGCAAGTTTATACTTTAACCATTTTACCTTTTCATACAAACAAAATCCTAGAAAAACTCCATTATTCCTTTGAGAATTGTAAAGACGTGGAAGACGAGAGAACACTGATCAGGGAAAAAATAAGTGGGCCTAAATCTAAATTTTGTAACAGAGAAAATGGACAATTTAGATATTGTGCTTGGATGATTTTGACCAAGACTTATTTTCCGTTTTTTTCTATTTTCTTATTTATTTCTTTCCCTTACCCCTCCCACTTCCCCTTCCCCTTTGGAACTTTTCTTCCTATTTCACATTACTATTATATGTTTTGATCCTTATTTACACTTTCATTTTCTCACACCAGAGAAACTATTCGGTATTTACACAGGTGTGTACTAGAGGGGTTGAACAGAGGGCAGGGGGATGGGGAAAAAAATAAGAACCAAGATATATCATGGAAAGGTACAAATTCCCAATGATGAATTGTCATCTTATTATATACCTAAAATGTGCCAGTAAACATAATGAATAAAAAAATGAGTTTGACAATAATCAAGGAAAGTCATAATATATATATATATAAAATTATATGGATGACTAGTGACATAGCATGTTGGTGCTATAGACCTTGATAATATGAATTCAACAGTATCATATTAGTCAAAATTGTATAAAATGTGTATGACTCCTACAGCAATAGCAAGATAAATTATTATTCAGATACTTGACATATAAGGAAGTGCTATTATAATTTGATTACTTTCACAGCACAGTGGCTTTAGTTATCTCTGTAAAGTATGTATTTTTATACTTTCTATCTTTTTTAAAATGAAAAATTAAAGCTCAGAAAAAAAAATTAGTCAAAAGTTAAACAATTAGTGTGACTTTGTACAATACACCCTAACCAACAGCTATCTCTTAGAGAGTTAAAGACAATGTTTTACTTAAAGATTTGTTCATATTAATGATGGAAAATGACCATAAGACCAACAGATATGAATTGACTTTACCATTCTACAAAGCCTGTGGAATTGGAATTTTAAGTTGTTTCTTTAGTCTTATTCCGAAAAAGCTTATGAGTGAGGTTGTTTACAGCTGTCCAACAGACAGAGACTACCCAGAAACTCAAGGGGTTCTGCTGAGACAGGTAACATTATTAAGCATTATCTAGACATTCTTGTAAGCTCTTTCCTATTGTCCAGATACAGTATCACAATCTTTTAAAAGCTCCCTTCCTTTTTTTAGTAGTATATGTTTGTGATATAATAAATATCTTCATCATGGAGTATTTGTACTTACACATATCACATCTTGATGCCTTTCCATTCACATCCCTACTGTAGATCTGCCCCATGTTCAGAGCCCCTTCATAAATGCACAACATACCCTAGATCTCATAATCCTTCACATTAATATTACTCTTTGGTCTATAGCTCTAATGCATTTTTATTTTTCCTCCTTTAGGGCCATTTCACAGTTTGCAGCCTGTAACCATGGAGAAGTCCAATTCTTCAGTGGTGTCTGAGTTTGTGTTGCTGGGACTCTTTACCTCTCAGGAACCCCAATTTTTCTTTTTTCTTTTCTTCTCCATGTTGTATGTGGTCATTGTGTTAGGGAACCTTCTCATTATCATCACAGTGATTTCTGATGCCAGTCTGTATTCTCCCATGTATTTCTTCCTAGGAAACCTTTCATTTATTGATATCTGTCAGGTTTCTTTTGCTACACCTAAAATGATTGCAGATTTTCTGAGTAAACACAAGACCATATCATTCAGTGGCTGCATAGCCCAAATTTTCTTCATTCACCTTTTTACAGGAGGAGAGATGGTGCTACTGGTCTCCATGGCCTATGACAGGTATGTGGCCATATGTAAACCCCTACATTATCTGATCATCATGAACCAAAGGACATGCAATATCTTGGTAATAATCTCCTGGGCTGTGGGTTTGGTGCACACATTAAGCCAGTTATCATTTACTGTGAACCTGCCTTTTTGTGGACCCAATGTAGTAGACAGCTTTTTTTGTGACCTTCCTCGAGTGACCAAACTAGCTTGTCTGGACTCTTCTGTCATTCAAATCCTAATTGTGGTTAATAGTGGCATTCTTTCCCTAAGCACTTTCTTGGTCTTGGTCAGCTCTTACATCACTGTTCTTGTCGCAGTCTGGTTCAAGTCTTCATCTGCAATGGCCAAAGCATTTTCTACGCTGGCTGCCCATATCACAGTAGTAATATTATTCTTCGGACCATGCATCTTCATCTATGTGTGGCCCTTTACTACCCATCCTGTGGATAAAGTTCTTGCTATCTTCTACACCATTTTCACTCCCACCCTAAATCCCATTGTTTACACCCTAAGGAACACAGATATGAAGGCTGCCATGTGGAAAATTGCCACCCATTATCTGAACCCTCCAAATTCCTGACATGCCACTAGTAGTAACGAATTCCTTTTATTATGGTGAAAGCTCTTCAAATTCCTCAAATCAGTAATCTTTAAATATCTTCAATGTATGCTGGTGTCATATCTCAAATGTGGTAAAATTAATAAAATATTTAATGGGTACTGACAAGATTTTTTTCTCTCAGGTGTCAATTAAGCAAAAGTTTAATAGTGAAAATTGAAAAAATATCCATGATGTATATGATTACTTGTTATATAAATATAATTTTAAGAAATTACTTGAGAAGTATATATGCATTCACTGCTGTGGTTATGGGTAAATGTTAATGTGATGGGAAAAAAGGAATGGGGATCCAATTTTTTGTGGGCATACCTTTCAGCCTTTTTTTTTTTTTTTTGGTCATATCAATTTCCTTACTGACTTTCCTGAAAAATCTATACACATGCATAGTTTTTAAGTATCTGAAATTTAATTTTCCAAAGTCCAGTGGATAGCCAATCTACTGTTTTAATATTAGTGCATGGGCTTAAGTGCAGATTGTCAGGTTTTGAGCTTCCTTACCCAACATCAATTACACACTTCTCACATAGTTTGTACCACTAGCAATGCTTTCAAATATGGAATATTCATATTCAGAAGCTTCTATTTCAAGTGTTCGGAATTAATTTTTTTTTCTGATTGCTTAGGATATTTTCAATTTCCTTTGAAATTTAAGTGATAGGATTAAAAAGATGTGAATTTAGGTGACCAATTTCAACATCAACATTTTAATCAGTGATATTAATGAGTAGTTTTGTTGCTTTGAATTTGCGTCAAATGTGAACCACGTAGCAAGGAAGAACCAATGTTAAATATCCATTTAGTTGGTGACCTGGAATCTACAGCAAGATCTCTATCCTGGATTTATGGATGATTAGAGAATTGATTGATGCATTTTACGTTTCTGTTTCAAAATCTTTCAACTAATAAAAGTCAAATAGACTAATGTTTACATTAGCCTTCCTTTCTGCCAAGAATAAAACCACTAGCTTTGCTATTTATTATTGGCCTTCTCATCTTCTCAACTCCAGTTAATTGTTTTCTGAATTCATCCCTAACAAATAAAACCTTAAATAAAATATTGCAGAAATCTTGACGATTTCCTTTTCTGCCACATCATTTACTTTTTGCTCCCTCTATAGTATTTTAATTCTTCGAAGGTTTGATATGTTTTGTTCTTCCTTATTCTCAAAATATACTTTAGAGTAAGGTAGCACAATACTAATTTAAATTTAGTATAAATTTATATCCATCAGTTACCTCTCTATGGAATTTAAACACATTCATTTCTTTCTAAATTTGGAATTTCTTCACTGGTAAGAGAGGAAAGTTGGCAGATTGAATCTCCAAGGGGGGCAGGAAGAAAAGCTTTTACCAGAGTCATGGGTCTTTGGATCAGGTAGGCTGCCTCATGTTCAGTTCATGGATTGAAACTTTTCTTGAATGAAAGAACATATACTGTATGATTTATTCTAGTCAATTTAGAGTACCAAAGCATTAGGGAAGGGGATTTATTTCAATGCGAAGTGAATTACTTGCTTTAATTTTAAATTAGCCTTCTTTGTAGGTATTTCATAAAAAAGGTTGTATTAAAGCTATTAAACTATGAGAATCAATGTACTAAGAAGTCCAGAAATTATGTAATCTTGTGCACTGTCATATAATTTATTACTCCAGCATTCATAACATTTTTTGGTTCAGCCATTTTTTGAAAATATGACAATTATCACAGCTGTCCTTCCCAAGAAACAGCATGAACACACATAGGATTCTATATGTAGTATAGGTATGATTCAAAAATTTAGTTTCTTCATATCAATCAAATTAAACAATTTTTTATTTTTAAATGTGTTATGTAAAATTAAAACTTGGTAGAAGACAAATATTGAAAAAAGTGTTAGTAATTTTAGTTTTGTACGGTAGTACATTTTAAGGTGAAGGCAGATACTTTAATTTGAATAAGATATTTTATAGTGATGTTGGCAATGAGGATACATATGGTATGATAGTGAATTGATCTTAAATCTTGATAATACCAGAGTCCTTGAGATATTATAAGCATTAATCAGACCCATTAATAACATTGACAAAGAAGGAAATATTTGATTCAATTAAATCCAGATTTTCCCAGATACATTGAACTGTTTTAACATTGTCTTGTAGGTCTCTTGTAAGCAAATGAATTACATTAGCAAGGTATAATTTTTTTACATAAGTAAAATATCTTCATGTATTTTCTTGAAAGGATTTTTATCTACATTTCAATAGAGTTCTTCTAAGGAATATCTAGAATTCTAGAAAGTTTTTGAGTAATAAGGAAAAACACATTTTTTTCTTAATTCTTGACAGAATCTCTTAGATTCTTAAATTCTTAGATTTAGTAGATTCAAGTAACCACTTGTAGAAATGTTGAGAGAGTTGACTGCTCTCAAAGCAGATGACACAATTTCAGGGCAAGTAAAAGAATTTCTGTTCAATGCATGCCAACAAGAACAGCAACTGGCATAGAAACATGTGGAGTTTCCTTTCATCAACCTAACAACAGATATGTTGCAGAAAATTACAAGTATCTCACTTAATAATGAGAATCAGTTTTTAAAAAATGTTTCTTGACCGAAAAGCTATTGTCAACTTTCAATTCATTGCCTCTTGGCATGAAATCCATCATCTATGGTACTGGAGGTAAATTCTATAAACCTTTCTACTTTTTCACTTGTTTTGAGAGGATGTTGGATGAGCATCACCCAGTTTATGATGGTGCAACTTAATTATATCAACTTGATTGTCATAGGAGCTCTGAGGGGATCAGTAAAGCACACTTCTCTGTGTGTGTCTGGGTAGATAATGAATCTGGTCCCTCTCCCCTGTCTCTCTGACACAGTTCCCTTGCTCTGCTTCTCTGTCACCATGAGCAGAACATCTTTCTCTGCCATATCATCCCACCATGATGTGCTTGCCTTCAAATCTGCTGAAAATGGACCGAATCTCCTGAAACCGTGAATGAAATTAAAGCTTTTCTCTTGTGAATTGTGAGTTTTGGATATTGTGTCTGAGTAACAGGAAAGCTAATGCATTCTCTCAATGTGATTCTTCTCTTCTTGTTCCTACACTGCAATAACCAGTGGCTTTTGTTCAAGTTGCCCTATGGCATTCATTCTACAGCAAACTGTTTCTTTAAATTCCCTGCTCCTCATTTTCAGCTAACCATCTCTGCAGCAGTTCTGGCCCAGGGTGACCCAGAGAACCTCTCCACATCCAAAAAGGTCCATATTCATACACTCCCCTAAAAGTTCTGAGATTTACACTAGGGAAGGATATCCTCCTTCCAAGTGTATTCCTTCCTTGGGTTGTCTCCTGTGAATGCAATTGTTCTTCAGATTTCTCTTTTTATCCTGTCTTAGTAACTAAATATTTATTGCCAGTTACTTATTCTATATATTAAATATTTTTTGTTGAAATTACCATTGTGATTTCTTACTGGACTTTAATAGATGTAAGCCATTTGATGATACTAAAAAACCAGTTGCATCTAAAAGCATTTCTTAAAAAATCATATACATAACAGGGAAAATTAGGAGCTGGTAGAACACAAAATGTCAGTGTTTTACCTATTTACATGCCAAAGTGAAAGTTATCAAGGGCATGCTTTAAAGTAGAAGAAAATCTAGCATTATTTTTATAAAGTAGATGCTATAATTTCATAAACTTAGTGTTTGCTATGATTTGTGTGTAGATGTTTCCCCAAAGCCTCATGTGGTCATAGGTGGGTGAATCTCGAGTGTGTGTTGCTAGGATTAAGAGCATATTACTACTAAGCCACTACAGGTGAGTGAGTGATTGGTTTGGCCCTGACCTAATCCCTGTAGTAGGAATAAGATAAACGGAGCAGAAAGACATGGTTAAGGTCCCTTGTTGCCTTTGCTACTGTGTGGGCACCATGTTGTTTCTCTTTTGCGATGCCTGTTTGCCATCCCTTTCTTTGAGCCAGTCAGTTATGGACTGAAACCTCTACAAAGTGTGAACTTAATAAATCCTGTCCCCTTTAACTTTGGTTGTTAGATATTTTGTCTCAGAAATGAGAGAAAAGTAACTAAACAGTGTTTAAATTTTTCTTTGCTGAAACTTGATGAGGACAATTAGTTAAAAGTTTTTAGTTTGTATATGTTTACTATGTTTTGTTTATTTTTCCTACAACATTATACATTTTTGGAAGTATATTTCAAATCTTGTAAAGTGCTCTATAATAAGAAAGATGCAAGGGTGTATTAAAATTCTCATTTTCTATAAAAGTGTAATTAAAAATAAAAAATCAAGGAATAATTTTAAATAAGGAGGTAAAAGATCTCTAAAAAACCTGTAATACCTTTTTGGTTTTTTCACTTAAATTCTTTTATTGGTACATTTTAGGTATACAATACATTTACATTTACCATTGGGTGCCTGTACCTGTACATGATGTACCTTGGTTCTTATTTTTTCCCCATTACCTGTGTGCCCTTGACCCCTTCACCCTTCCCTATTTACATAGATTTCATTTCCATTTTTTTTCTTTTCTCATAATTTATGTAATAACTTTTTTAAAGAAGCTGAAGATGACACACAAAAACTGGATATATTGTATTCTTTAGTTGAAAGAAGTAATATTACTAGAATGCCCATGGTATTCAAAAGAGATTTATACATTCATTGCAATATGTATGAATACCAGTGGTGTTCATCAGAGAAATAGAAAAACAATGATAAAATTCATGTTAAACTACAAAACACTTCAAAATAATCAAAGCAATCTTTAACACAAGGAATGAAACAAGAAAGATAATAGACTTTAAAATATGCTAAAAAGCTATTGTGATCAAAACAGTATGGTATTGACACTCATGCAGACACATAGATCAAGAACAAAATAGAAAGCCTTAATATTATTCAATTTTTCTACAGTGAATTGATTCTCAATGAAAATTAGGTTCAAGAAAGGACAGTCT